CCCCCAGCGCCCCTCTCTTAAGGAATACATAACGGCGACGCTAGCAACTTTGTTACTTAGGTTGGAATAAATAGAGACCCCCCCCTAAATGAAAAAAAAATCACTGTTTGTACCCATCCAAAAGCACCGAAAAGCATAGGATTGTTCTGAAATATAGGGTAGGCAAGGCATTGCATGGTCGACTTAAAGGGAGCACATGTTGCCCCGGCTGCGCTTTATGGGCCTCCAGGAGCCCCAAAACGGTTTGTCTAGGGTCGATACATTGCAGATAGATCATAGGTGCTGGGCTGTCGGTCATAGGTGCACAGCAGCTGGATGGCTTTCAGACTGCCGGTCATGGGAACCCGGGAGGCGTGCTGTTGGTGCAGGGCAAACCAGGGGCTGTCGGGTGACCGGCGGAGATGGATGGGCCACCCCACCTCACCCATGTGTTGTGCACAACATCCTGTTCAATTATAAAAACCGCATACGACACAACACCTGCCACTGCCCATCCGGGATTCTGGGGGTGCTCTCCCTAAGTTAAATTACTTAAGGGTTGATGGCTGGTTTGGCATGCCACGTGTTTGTGCGCCTCTTCTGGTTGTGTGTGTGATGACTCTCCTATAAATGTCAAGTCAGACAAACGGGGGAGCCACTGGCTAAATGACTTCAATACGACAGGGACCCTGGGGGATTCGTGTGGGTGTGAATGATGCATATGCTAATATCACTGAGGCCCCATAAATCTGTGTGGCTGTTTTTTCCTTCGGGGGGTGAAGTAAGGGAGACATGGCGCTCCGTCTCCATCCTTCCATCATTTCACCCTCCAACCCTCACTCCACCCTCCCTCAATAATCCCTCCACAATACCATTTCCCTCTCTTCCTCCACCCTTCCTCCATCATCCCCCCCACTTCCCTCAACGCTCCCTCCCAACATCCTCCCTTCCCCTACCATGTGCCCTCCCTTCTTCCATCCTGTGCCTTCCCCTCTGCTGTCCCCTTCACTCCCTTGGCCTTCCCTCCCTCCGTTCTTTTTTTGGAGTGAATGTGTGTGCCCCACCATCCGTGTGCTCATGTGCCCACGTACAAATGTGTGTATGTATCATGGGTGCGACGGTAAACAGGCGGATGTATGGCACGGCTACCATCGCACCCAATGGGTGCGATGGTAAACAGGCGGATGTGCGGCGCGGCTACCATCGTACCCAATGGGTGCGATGGTAAACAGGAGGATGTGCGGCGCGGCTACCATCGCACCCAATGGGTGCGATGGTAAACAGGCGGATGTGTGGCGCGGCTACCATCGCACCCAATGGGTGCGATGGTAAACAGGCGGATGTGCGGCGCGGCTACCATCGTACCCAATGGGTGCAATGGTAAACAGGCGGATGTGCGGCGCGGCTACCATCGTACCCAATGGGTGCGATGGTAAACAGGCGGATGTGCGGCGCGGCTACCATCGCACCCAATGGGTGCGATGGTAAACAGGCGGATGTGTGGCGCGGCTACCATCGTACCCAATGGGTGCGATGGTAAACAGGCGGATGTGTGGCACGGCTACCATCGTACCCAATGGGTGCGATGGTAAACAGGCGGATGTGTGGCGCGGATACCATCGTACCCAATGGGTGCGATGGTAAACAGGCGGATGTGTGGCACGGCTACCATCGTACCCAATGGGTGCGATGGTAAACAGGCGGATGTGTGGCACGGCTACCATCGTACCCAATGGGTGCGATGGTAAACAGGCGGATGTGTGGCGCGGCTACCATCGTACCCAATGGGTGCGATGGTAAACAGGCGGATGTGTGGCACGGCTACCATCGTACCCAATGGGTGCGATGGTAAACAGGCGGATGTGCGGCACGGCTACCATCGCACCCAATGGGTGCGATGGTAAACAGGCGGATGTGTGGCACGGCTACCATCGTACCCAATTAGTTATTGGCTGTCACGTGAGACAGGATGCACATCATTCACCTTGTGGGCCAGCTGGTGGCTGCTGAGAGTTACTCGGGTTGAAACTGCTTGTCAAACATGTTGTGTTTGGTATGCCAAAGTGTGAGGCTCAAGGATGACGTTAGCAATGTAAGCAGTGCCATTCCTTTATTGCCCTAACATCACTAAAGCAGTTCCCATCTGGTAAGGTAACACTTTCCTAATTAGCGAGGTATCATGCATAACTGGCTCTGATGTTTTAAGCAGTATGGTTCAATTCATCTTACAGAAGCCAGGACAGTAGGAGTTTAAGTCGTTACAGATTTCAACAGGTCAAGGGAGGGCAGAGGAGAGCAAGAGACGGCAGAGCAGGGAATTGGAGAGCAAAGGCCGGCAGAGGAGGTCAGGAGGGGGCAAGGA